GCTGCTGCTGATGATGATGATGATGATGATGATGTTGATGATGATGATGATGATGATGATGATAAGGAGGGGGATGGTGATGATGATGATTATTCTGTATGGTGTTGATAAGGAGGAGGAGGAGGAGGAGGAGGAGAAGGAGGAGGTGCAGGAGGGGAGTGATGATGAATGGGACGGCCGTACATATGACACTTTTCATCTTCACTATTTGATGAGCTCTCATGGAGCTCGGTTGGGCCGTCTTGGGGCTGGCTTGGCCTCCTGTGTGGCAGCCTTTGGGGTCCATCGGGATCCCCTTAGGCAGCCTCGGGGCACTCTTACGCCGTCTTGGGGCTTTCGTGGATCATCTTGCGGCCCTCTTGGCCGTCTGGGTGCCATTCTGGGGCCGTCTTGGGCCGTCGCAAGGAAATTGCAGGCCGTCTTGTGTCCCACGGGAGGCCATCGTGGACCATCTTGGGCAGTCTCGGATGCCTCTTGGGCCATCGTTGAACCTCCTTGGACCATTTTTGGACCCTCTTGGGGGCCTATTCGGCCGTCTTGGGAGCATTGTGGATGCTTCTTGGACCGTCTTGAGCTGACGGACGCCCGAACAGGCTAGTAGAATGCGACGCCCATTCGACACTAGGGGGGCATTGATTTGGGATTCGTGGGCGCCTGTTGAAGGTCCGAGTGCGGCCCTTTGAGCCCTCTTGGATGCATGCTGGGCTGTCTTGAAGCCTTTTTGGGCCGCCTTGGGCCATCTTGGGCCGTCGTCGAGGCATTTGGGGCCATCTTGGTGTCCTCGGTTGCCTGTCAGGAACGTCTTGGAAGCTCGGGACATGGATGCTTCGTTTTTTGTTTACGAGGGACAGTGACAGCAGGAACGCGGATCCATGGTTTTTTTTTGTTGCGGGGCATCGTTGCTTCGGGAGGGGAGCGGTGCATGCGACTGGACGTGAGCAGGTGGGGGAGGCTGATTTACAATACAGAAACCCTACCAGACAGACATTGGCATTCTTCCACGCCTCAACTTGCACACGGCACGGTGGCAGATACATTTGAATAATGATTCAGTTCTTTGCTGCAGATTTCATGTGCTGATGAAGTGTGGCCTGGGATGCGTGGAGCAATCTCGAAGAAATGCTCAGTGCGTCTGTGGGCGCAATACGGGCCGCACTCACACTCGCAGTCGCCGTCGCAGTCACCAGTGCGACAGCAGAGCCGTAGCGCTGCAAAAATGATGTTCACCTTACGACCCATGCAAGCTCAGGCAGGGTTCAGAACTGGAGCGGTCTTGAAGGTCCTCTTGTTGCTTGTCCGCAGCCTCGTCCTCCTCTTCCTTCATTCTCGATTTTTCTCCTCCTTGCTCCTCCTCCTACTTTTCCCCTATCTCTCTCCCCCTTCTCCCTTTTGAGCCCTCCTCCTCCTCCTCCTCCCCCTCCTCCTCCTCCTCCTCCTCCTCCTCTTCCTCCCCTCCTCCCGTTCCTCCTCCTCCTCCTCCTCCTCCTCCTCCTCCTCCTCCTCCTCCTCCTCCTCCTCCTCTCCTCCTCCTCCTCCTCCTCCTCTCTCCTCCTCCTCCTCCTCCTCCTCCTCCTCCTCTCCTCCTCCTCCTCCCTCCTCTCCTCCTCCTCCTCCTCCTCCTCCTCCTCCTCCTCCTCCCGTTCCTCCCGTTCCTCCTCTCCTCCTCCTCCTGCTGCTCCTTCTCCTCCTGCTCCTCCTCCTCCTCCCCTCCTCCTCCTCCTCCTCCTCCTCCTCCTCCTCCCGTCCCTAATCCTCCCGTTCCTCATCCTCCCTCTCCCCCTCCCCCTGCCGCCTCCGGGCGCAGGAGCCCCCGCGCGGGGAGCTACACGGAGGCACGGCCCACTGCAAGAGCACCGGCGGCGCGGCCTCGCGCGAGCCCCCTCCGGCACGACGGGGCCGGGGCTACCCGAGGGGCTGCGTGCCCTGTGGCCGTTAAAAGGATGCGCCCGCGGCGGGGGCCAGGCTGGCCCCCTCCTCCTCCTCCTCCTCCTCCTCCTCCTCCTCCTCCTCCTCCTCCTCCTCCTCCTCCTCCTCCTCCTCCTCCTCCTCCTCCTCCTCCTCCTCCTCCTCCTCCTCCTCCTCCTCCTCTCCCTCACAGTGGGAGCCCATGCCACGAAACGCCCTGCTTGCCTCCAGGGTGCCCTGGGCTTCTTGGGCTTCGATGGTTCTGCCACGGACGGAGTGACTTTCCCACGCCCCAGATCGATGGACGTCCCGGGGCCTCGGGGTTGGGTTTCCTGTGGGCGGTCTCTTGCGGTCGGGCTCCCACTGCAGCGCCGGATGCCGCCCAGCAGCGCCGAGCAGCGATCGAGTAGCGCCGCTTGTTTGGCCCCGAGTGCTCCTGCGCTCTGCTAGGGACGCCTCTCGGCGTGCCCTGCGACCAGGGCGCTGCGGCTGTTCCGCGCCGGGCGCTCTCGCCCTTCGTGTATCGGGCCCCGGGACCACCGCGGATCGACCTGGCCGGCGAGACGCCACAAGGAAGCCTGGGTCTGGGGCCCCCAGAGGTCCAACGCATTGGACAAATCGAGACGGCCGTCTTTCGCAATCTTCGGCCTCTAGGGGCCCTCACTGGGCCCCGGGACCGGTGAAATACGACTCTAGATGAAAAACCGGTCTTGGGGAATGGGTCGACCCTTCCTGGGACCCCGTATTGAAAAAATCACGACGTCGGATCTTTGGGCCTGGGGCCCCAGTCGGGATGCTTCGCGATGCTGCGCCATGAGATCCCGGCTGCGTTGCGACTGTTTCGCGCTGGGGCTCGAGGGTCAATGCAAACGGGTGTCAGCCAGAGCGCCGCGTCTTGAAGGATCCTGCAGGGCCAGGGCCGCATTGGCCCGGGCTTGGGTGTAGGATCTTGCAGGATCCTGCAGGGTCTGACTAACCCGGGTCTGGATTGACCCGGGTCACAAGATCACACTGGGCGCTCTCGCTTAGTATCGGGCCCCGGGATCATCTCATATGGATCTGACCGCAGGGATGCTGCAGGAGACTCGGCCCTGGGGTTAGATCGTGCATGTCCCCCAACAGGCGGATGCGAACCATAAAAAAATAGCCAACAAATATTCGAAACAAATCAAATCGTCGAAACATCGCCGCCATATGCTAAAAAAGTATTCCTCCTGTAGAGGGACATGCCCGACTCAACCCTGGGCCCCGCTCGCGATTTCTCGCCAGGCTGCATCTGTTTTGCAGCGTCGGACCTCAGGCTGCGCTCCGCCTGGGCTTCCCTTCAGCGTGGCGCCGCCCGCCCCCCCCCCCCCGGTGGCAGTGGACCGGCGCTCGCCTGCGGCTGCTTGGCTCGGACAGCCGCCACAAAAAACAGCGTGCAGATACCTTGGGTTTCTCAGTGAGCGTAGGGGGGTACCCCCCCAACGGGGGTCAACCTCGCCTCGTCGTCGCGCCGCGACGGGGATCGGAGCGCCTTCGGCTCGCGGTGGCTGCCCGCGACGGGGGTCGATGTGGGGCTGACTAAATAGTTGGTCGACTCATTCATTCAAATTGTTGGTCGACTCATTCGACTGTGTTGAACGAATTAGCCAGTACCGCAAGCTGTAGGGCATCATGGCCACCCAACTCATTCTCAGACCCATCTCGTCTTTGCGTTAAAAGGCTGTTTAGGGTTTTCTGCCGCAAGGGTGTCATTCTGTTTATGTAGCTTCTTGTCCATCGATAGGAGGATCCATGATGAGGGGAAGCGGAGAGAGGGGGTGAGGAGCTACATAGCACTTGGCAACATGGTAGCTCAGGCACAGCATCAGGGCTCGCGGACCCTCGGTGGGCAACGTGCACGACCTCTAGGGCCGTTGAAGTCTTGCACGGCGCGTGCGTTTTCCTCTTCCCCATCTCTTCTCAGATTCGCGTTGTTCTTCGTCCCGCCTTCTCTTTCTCCCTCATCCCTCGTCCCTCCGCAGCCGAGTTCCTCCCTCCCCCGCACGTCGGTCACGGTGCAGCGTGCTGGTCATCCTACCGCGGGGGTCAGTGGCAGGATGAAGGGGAAGACGAGGAGGTCGAGAAAGAGGGGGGATGAGGAACGATTCCGAGAGGACGATAATGAGGATGCAGAACGAGGAGGGTCAGACTAAGGAGGAAGAGGAGGAGGGACACTGGAGATGGAAGGGCAACAGCACGAGCAGATGGAGCAAGAGAAACGACATTGGCCACAGAAGCACAGTCGGTACATGGTGTGGACGAGGCGGAAGGAGGGGCAGAATGAACGCTAGGAGCAGAACAAGCAACAGGATGATGAAGATGTGGAGGAGGAGGAGAAGGATGAGGAGGAGGAGGAGGAGGAGGACCAGGTCGAAAAGAGAGAGAGGAAGCGAGAGAGAGAGAGAGAGAGAGAGCAATCTGAAGCCCAATCGAAGAGGAGCAGGATGATCGTCCACGGAGGAGGAGGAGGATCGATAGAGGAAGGAGCAGGGGTAGTAGGATCGATCGAGGACGCGTGATGGAGGATGACGGGAATACTTATGCCGCGAATTTCGTATGAGGCTATGCGTGAGGCGAAATATTCGAGGACCGTGAGCAGGCAGTGTGGGGGAGGTGGGAGCAGGGAAGAAGGGAATAGTACATGTATGGGAGGAGAAGGAGGAGGAGGAGGAGGAGGAGGAGGGAAAGGAGGAGAATAATGAGGAGGAGGTGGAGGGGGGAGAGAAGCGTTGGAGGGGACGAGCGGTATCCGCTTACGAAGCAATTCTGGTTGGTGATTACCGTTGGAACGAAGAGGATGATGGAGGGAGTTGGATGAGGAGTAGGAGGACGAGGATTGGGATGGGAAGGGAGAGGCTCATGAAAGGGGGCAGGAGGAGGGGACGCGGGTTGGGGTGGGGAGGCGGGGCAAGACGGGGAGGTCGAGGAGGTGGGAGGAGGAGGTGGACGGATCAGGAGATGGCGACTACGAGGGGAGTGAAGTAAGAGGTGGAGGAAGAGGGCGAGGAGCACGCGGAGGAGTGAGGGGGCCAAGTGGTCGGTCAAGCTCAGAGGCCCCTCTGCCGCGTCCTAGCGCCGCAGCAGCCGACCGCGCCATCCCCACGCTCCCCACCACGCCCGGCCGGGCGGAAAGAGCTTGCAAGCTCTCGCAACAGGCTGCCGAATGGAGTGAGAGACCGGTGCTCACGTGATGGGGGGTCAGCAGTGGGCGACGGAGGGGGGAAAGGGGAAGGCGGAAGGGGAGGAGTACCCGGACTCTCAGCGTGTCGACAAGACCACAGCGGCTGTTTTCCCATGGGTGCGTCCTCGGGGGGCCCTCGTTGGGCCGTCGGAAGGAATTCGGGAGGAAAAGCCGGCCCTGGGGAACGGGTCGGGACTCTGGGGGCCCGCGTGCTAAACCAATCAAGATATCGGATGGATGGCTGGGTACAGTGCCGTTTTTTATACATGTTCCGCGTGCGGATCATGTACTAAAAATGCAGGGATCTAGTATTAAAACAACGATGACCATCAATCATGTATCAAACATCGTATATTTTCACAACTCTATGTATCAAAAACTGCCGTGTAGGATCATGAGGGGGAGGAGCAGGAGGAGCAGCAGGAGGAGGTCCGTCCGCGAGGCCCTGCCAGGAGCGGGTGCGAATCCTCGGCCCTCTGCAGCAGATGCGCGGAAGCGAAGGCCACTTCCGGGCTCTCCAGGGGGGATCTGGTCTTCGGGCCGTTCCTTGGGTCTGGGTCGGGGTAGCCTACTTGTTGCCGAGGCTCGCTGGGGCCAGGCGAGCCCTCGTCGTTCTGAGTCCCTTCTGGTGGCACGATGGCTGCGTGGAGAACGGTGAGGAACAATACAGTCAACTTGCATAGTAATCGAAGGAGGAAACAAACGGCACAAGCATAAACTGTTGGCGCTCCGCGCGGAGCGCCAAACATTTTATGCCAATCGTGTTTTCTGTCTTCTAAGCAAGGATGAGGGGCTTTCCAAGGCTACTCTTGCATCCTTCCCCTTTGTCCGCTTTCGCTGGCCGCGCCCCGCTCGGTGTCGACATGGCCTTCCCAAGCCCTTGCATCCTTGTCGTGCGTCCTTCTTCAACGGGTTGACCGCTGGACCAGGAGGGGGATCATGTTCGTTCGGGCCGAGTGGTGGTGCTGGGCGATCTTGCATGCCGTGGGCCCGTGGTTGGATGGTTTACGGAAGGTCCCACACCGCACAATTTTCGTGCTGCCGTCGTCGCGCCCGCGACCCGCCCGACGTCGTGCGCATGAAGATCACACCGCCGGCGACCCGCCTGCGATGCTCACGATCCACACCCGCGAAAGAGGAGGAGGAGGAGGAGGAGGAGCAGGAGCAGGAGCAGGAGCAGGAGCAGGAGCAGGAGCAGGGGGAGGAGACGGGACCCGGAGATCCGACGCTCCAAGAAGATTCTGGCGGCCAGTTATAGGCTATGTTCGGCCTCCGGGAACTTTCACCGAGCCTCGGGACCGTTAAACGACGACTAAGGACAAACAACAGGTCCCGGGGAAGTGATCCAGACCTCCAAAGCCCAAGCATCGAACACGTTGGAGCAGCCCCCCGATGTTCGGGGAAGGAGGAGGAGGAGGAGGGCGAGGAGGAGGAGGAGGAGGAGGGAGGAGGAGGAGGAGGAGGAGGAGGAGGAGGATGGAGGAGGAGGAAGGAGGAGGAAGAGGATGAGGAGGAGGAAGAGGAGGAGGAGGAGGAGGAGGAGGAGGAGGAGGGGAGGGAGGAGGAGAAGGAGGAGAGGAGAGGAGGAGGAGGAGGAGAGGAGGAGAGGGGAGAGGAGGTGGAGGAGGAGGAGGAGGATAAGGAGGAGGGAGGAGGAGGATGAGGAGGAGGCGGAGAGGAAGGGAGGGGGGAGGAGGAGGATAGGAGGAGGGAGGAGGAGGAGGAGGTGGAGGAGGAAGAGGAGGAGGAGGAGAGGAGGAGAAGAGGAGGAGGAGGAGGAGGAGGAGGAGAGGAGGAGGGAGGAGGAGGAGGAGGAGGGCGGGATGAGGGGAGGAGGAGGAGGAGGAGGAGGAGGGGGCGCCCATCTTCCTTTTCCTCTCGTCCTCCCCCTTCTCGCCCCCCCCCTTCCCCCGAGGCGCCCCCAGTTTGCCCCTGGGCTCCCTTTGCTCCTTCGCCTCTTCTGCTCCCCTAGAACGTGGCCCTTGGGCTTCCTCGAGGAGTCGTGCACCCTGGGCCTGGGGCGGCGCGAAGGCGGTCTGGCGGGTGCCCATGGGGGGTTGGCCTCGCGGAGGGGTGAAGACGGGGGCCCTTTTTGGCCAGCAGGGGGCTCTCCAGGGCCCCCTTGGGAGCCAGCAGGGGCCCACAAGGATGCCTGAAGAGCCCGATTTAGAGCCCATCCTCTTCCCCCCCACACGCAGTAGGGGCTCGACCGCAAGAAAGCTTCCACAAGAGACCCCACCTTGAGACCCCAGGTCGTCCATGGGTGTTTGGCGTGGGAGCGTCACGCTTCCCGTCGCAAAGCCATCGAGACCCGAGAGACCCAGGGCACCCTGGAGGCAAGCAGGGTGCTTCTTGGCATGGACCTCCAATCTGTCTCGGTCGCCCCCCAC